TATTAATTTATATTTTAAAAATACAAATTACACTGATTATCATATTTGTAATTAATTTTACATAAATTTTTATATAAAATTTAAATATAATATAATTTTTATACTCAAAATTTAATTATAAATTATAAATTTAATTAAAAATACTTTAATTACTAAATATTAATTTATATTTTAAAAATACAAATTACACTAGTAGTCCTATTTTTATTTCACCTTAAGAAATGGCTGTATCAATGCCTTTATTTTGATGGAACTGTTCTCCTCTCCCTATAAAGTCATTATTGGTTGGCCTTGGAACTTACCATCTCTAAGATCCAAGCTTTAGAGTAATACAATAATGCAAAAATGGAATCTTTTCCTCTTTCTTTCACTATACATTATATAAATAGTATAAAATTACACTTCCCTTAATTATTAATAAAAAATAAAATTTTTGATATTAATGCAAAAATGGAATCTTTTCCTCTTTCTTTCACTATACATTATATAAATAGTATAAAATTGCACTTCCCTTAATTATTAATAAAAAATAAAATTTTTGATATAAAAAATAAAAATTTTGATATTAAAAATTTATTATTTTTTAATAATTAATTGTTTTACGGTCCATACAAAATTAATCAACTGCAAAACAATATTATATTGCATAAAAAACCTAATCTTTCTTTAATCCCAAAATTTATTAAATTGGCCGTGGAGAGGCAAAAATGATATATGCTGATTGGATTGCTTTGATTAGGTATGTTTGGGAAGAAAACAACAAATAAGGATTTGGCACATAAATTTATATACAGCTTATATACAGCATAATCCTCTGCACCATACATTGTATTAGAAACCATTTACAAAAGTCTGGGAAGTGTAAGATCCACAGGAGAGGACAATGAAAATAATAAAGGAGACCCCAAAATCTATTTAAAAAACGGGCATAAGATTCCTTGACACTATTTTTTTCCCCTAATGAGTAGAGCCAAGTACTTGACAAATGGGGCACTGCCATCTGTGTGGGTGTGCCTGTGCCCTTTTGTAGGGCAGTTAGGCCCTAAATTGATTAGGGGTCAATATTATATGATGCAACTGAAGATTGAAGAGTTGGTTCATGGTTGGCATTAGGGGGCTCGCCTTTTGGGAAAAAATAAAAAACCAAGCAAGCAAAATCCAATCCAAATCAAGATGGAAATGGAGTAGGGGATTCGAGATCTCCTTAGCAGTCTCTTTACAATTTTTTAACACGATTCAAGGACAAATCATCCATGATGACCATTCCTTTCATTGTATTTGTATGGAGATTTTTGTTAAGTAATGTCCTTGTGCTTGAGCTTTAATCAATTGAAGTTAGCACGTTTTGTAACTTTACATGTGCCAATCTTTTATTATTGTACATGATCCATTTGTTTAACAACTTTAATATCATTTTGATATTAATATTAGGTTTAGTTAATCAATATCACCTGATATTATTTAATTCAGCATGCAATCTAATTATTTTTATTTTTAAAAACCAAAATGATTTTGAAGACACTAATGTCTATTTATAAGTTGATTTAAGCTTTTTCAACTCTATCAATTTCTCCATGATCTTCTCTATAGGCATATTTTCTTTCCTAAATTTGGATCCAAATGGCTTTTAAGAAGGGTTTTAGATGGTTAGTTTCAAACTATTATAATAGCTTAATATCACTAAAATTCCCTCAACTTTGCAAAAGTAATCATTATCATCCTTCTACTTTAAAACAAGTCATAAACATCCCTCGACTTTCAAGAAAGGGCCAAGTATCATCCCTTGTCATAACGCCGTCCATACATCCGTTAAGAATTTCCAAATTTTAATGGTAAAATAACATAGCATGTCCATCAGATTTCATTTTTTGTACATTTTGATCCTTAAACTTCAGATTTATTCAATTTGATCCCTAATTTCAACTTGTTTATTACAATTTAGTTCCTAAAATTTTGAAAGAGATGCACTTAAATCTCAAAATTTGCATTTCAATCCTTTTTTTCACAAATAATAAAAATAATATAACTTTTAATAAAATCATAGTCAAATATTTAACTCATTCAAATATTAATAAAATTAAGTCCAAAATAGTAAACTAAAATATATAAAGAAAACCATGTTTTAAAATTCAAACTACATTAAACTATAAAACAAAAACCATTGGTATTGGAGTCTAACTCCAATCAATGATAAGTGTTGTATAGTTCGATACAATCTGAAATGCATAATACTTTTTTCATAAATAAAACTCATACCTTAAAATGGAAAAACAAAATTTTAAAACCAACCAATCCCAAAATGCCTTTGATACATAATTTGAAATCCTGCAAGGTAGTATAACTAAAGTTATGAAACTGAAAATGATGTAGATATGACTTATAGGTGTGGTGTGAGTGTGGTCATGTGAACATCATAAACTAATGATAATTTTCGGTAATGTTTCTAGTTATAAGTGCATTAAAAAAAAAAGAGAGAGACAAGTATCTCTTATTTATCCTTCTTTTATTATAATGTTGTTGCTTTTTTTTTTTTTTTTTATGTGAGTTATGTATATGCAACTCTTTAAATGTCTTTACTTTTAAAGATCTCAAATTGGGCATTAAAGATGTGATTTTTCAATTTGAATATATAAGTATTATATATTTTAGTTTACTTTTTTAACTTTAATTTTATTAATATTTTGGATGAATTAAAAGTGATTTTATTGGATTTTACATTTTTTTATTATTTGTGCAAAAAAAGAATAGAATGCATGAAATTAGAAACTTTGAGACTTAAGTGAAATTCTTAGAAAATTTTAGAACTAAATTGCAATAACAAAAGTTAGAATCAAGGATTTACTTAAGTAAATATGAAGTTTAAGGATCAAAGTGCATAAGAACTAGAAGGTTAGGGAACAACAATGTTACTTTACAATTAAAATTCGAAAGATTTTAACGGATATATTTACGGTGTTGTAATAACGTTACTCAATAGAGATGATGCTTGGCTCTTTGCCCAAAGTTCAAGGATATTTATGACTTTTTTTAAAGTAGAACGATGACAATGACTCCTTTTGTAAAGTTGAAGGATTTTTACTGGCATTAATCCTATTATATTCAGAGGTAGCAACATGGTTGGTAGAATATCAATGTCGCTCAGAAACTAAGAGCTCATGAGGTTTGACTTGAGTTAATGACAACAGGTCATACAGAGATCTTTGAAGGTTAATTAAAGAGTATGTCAGATGAGTTCCTAAATGATGTGAAAAACTAGGCTCGTAAGTTTTATGAATTTCATGTAAGCATCATTGCATAGCTATCATGAGATGTTGTTGGATAATAGTTTTCCGACTTTTCTTTCTTTTCTATCCCCCTTTTGGTTCACTTTTATACCTCAATCCCTAACTTACCTTCTCTCACTCATTAGATGCGCCTCTCCCCTCCCCCACAGTCCAAAATACAACCAGCTTTCCTATTATTTTCTCAACTCTCAATCATGAGCTCTGGGACCCTTCTCTATGGTGAAGGATTTCTGATTAAAGGGGTTCCTCTTTTTGTGAACTCTCTACCCTACCTTCCCAAGAATAGAAGACATATAGAAATGCCCCAAATGGAAAACAGTTATTGACAACTGGAAGCTTGTAGTTGTAGGAGTTTGTACATACCAACCTGTAATTTGGTGAAGGTTTGACATTTGGTGGGTAATTGTCTATTTTTGAATGAAATGTAACAAAATTGCCCAAACGAGAAATGCGGTAGTAAAGAATAGAACTCCGAGTCACCGACACCATATAAATTAAGATCATTCATCCTCAAAGTAATTATTGACCAATGAAAAGAATTTACAAAAACTCTAAACTTGACCAATCTCAATATTTCATTTTCCTTAAATTTTTTTGGGGTTAAGCACTTAAGCAGTTCATTTCCTATCTAATTAAAAATAAGTTATTTATGTCAATACTAAAAAATTTATAAAAAATTACTTCTTTATCAGCCTTTTGAAAGAAGTAAAAATTAATCAATAAGTTTGGAACAGGCATCCTTATCAATTAAACCATAATTTCTCAAGTATCATTTTCTTTGAATTGATAGTTATTATCCCCTCATAAAGTAAATTACAAGGGAATTATGTGTCAAGAATTAAATCATAAGCCTAAAGTTGATTTGCCTATATCACTACTAGAAATAGGGGCTTATTCGATCAAGCATCTTGACCGAATAAGTAAGAATTTTGACTGAACAAGAAGTAATTCAGTTAAATTACTTGACTAAATTATTGATCTGAACATCTATTGTACGATATAATAATTTGGACAAAATTTCATCTTGATAAAAAATGTTAGACAATTTCAATAAAAAATTTAACGAAAAATGTTATTACGAAATCTTTTATTTTAGACTAATTCGATCAAAAAATTTGGCTGAAATTGTTATTAGGAAATCTTCTATTTTAGATTAATTTGATCAAAATATTTGGCCAAAATATAATTTTCAATATAAAAAAATCA